TCAGTCTGTGACTCCGTCTCTCTCTGACCCTCTTCTGCTCACGCTCTCTCTCTCTCTCTCTCTCTCCTAGAAATAAATAAAACATTAAAAAAATAAAATAAAATAAAAGAATGGTCCGGGCAGTCTCTGAGAGGGTTATGTTTGAGCTGAATGAGCTGAAAGGTCTAGTCATACTTTTTTGGAGGAAGAGCGAGCCAGGCATAGTAAGCAGCAGGTGCAGATGCCCTGAGGCAGGACTGAGTTTAGGGTTTCCAGAGAATAGCAAGGAAGACAATAAGGCTGGGGTGTAATGAGTGAGTGAAGGGGTGGTGGTAAGAGACAAGGTCAGAGAGGTGAGACTGATAATGAGCATATTTATGGGGAGATCTTTCCAGCGAGGGCTTTGTATAAGGTAGAGAACCCTGGCAGGTACTTCCTCACCTGGGACCCCCCGCCCCAGTTCTCTAGGACACATCTTAGAGCAGGAGGCAAATAAAACAGATCATTTTAAAAAATCTTTCCAGAACCCAGAGCCCAGGGGAAATTACTGAGGCAACAATTTTTTTTTCTTTTTGCTTGATCTCTGCTTTATTTATCTTCAAAACTCACAATAATTTGAAGTTACTGAAAAAAATACTCAAGATACCTAGAAATCTAGCTAAGTGGTCAAGATTCTTTTCCTTTGGCTCGTCAACCCGAGACAAAATAAAAGATGGTGTTTCTGTGTTGTTGTTTGTTAAAAGAACGTACGTAGAATATCTTTCTCCCATCTTCCCTTTCCTTTATCGTCATCGGCTGAACCTGAGAACAAAGATGCCATTTGGGCTCCATAGGTTGGGGGCCACTGTGTAAAGACTTTCTCATTTTACGAGATATGTTGCAGTCAGATTTTGATAAAGGAAATCTTGGGGAGGTGAATCCTGTCCACTTAGTGACTGCTGGCCTTTTTGAGATTTGAATGGCCACTGGTCAGGCATCTTAAACCAGAGGTCTAGAGGTGTGAGCGAGTGCAGGAGCCAGCAGGAAGTCTGCCATGTCTCAGCCTGGCAAGGAATTAACTCTGGAGAAGGCTTATGCTTCTGCCACTAATTAAGTGTGTGATCTTTTTTTTTAATTTTAAATTTTATTTATTTCTGAGAGAGAGAGTGCATGAGCAAGCAGGGGAGGGTCAGAGAGAAAGAAGACACAGAATCTGAAACAGGCTCCAGGCTCTGAGCTGGCTGTCAGCACAGAGCCCGACGCGGGGCTCGAACCCACGAACCTCGAGATCATGACCTGAGCTGAAGTCGGATGCTTATCCGACTGAGCCACCCAGGTACCCCATTAAGTGTGTGATCTTGAGTGAGTTCATTATCTCTAAGATGGGGATTGGGGTAGGGGAGGGTGTACGTTGGGCTAGGATGAGGGCCGTTGGCCTTTTCCATTTGTAAATTCCAATGGATCCATGAAAAGGAGCCCTTGAGCAGCCTTAATTAGCAGAACTGAGGGTGCACACAGCGGAAGCAGCTGCAGGAGGAGGTGGCCTGGGATGGAGGCCCTGCAAGCTTAAGGGATTCAAGAGGAGCAGCTGGCAAGGGAGAGGGGTCGTGAGGGACACGGGAGGGTGCAGAGGAGAATGGGGAGGAGGCAGGAGGGGAGGAGTGGGGAGGAAGGGAGCATCATGGCTTTTGAGGAGCCGCTGGCTCTTCTGTGACACTTATGCATCTTAGCTGCAGAAGACTGCTCCGATCCCCAAGGAAGGGCCACGGAAGACCTAGGTTCTATGTCCTGGTTCTGAGGTCCCTGTGTCAGCAGGTGGCGTATAGACAAGAACAGTGCACAGCAGTTAGAAGGGGACCAGCCTGGATCCAGTGGTGGCACCAAGAGGGATAGGGAAGAGATGTTTGGGTTCCCCACCCCTGCTCACCATGCTCTATTGGGTCCCCTTAAAGCCCCTGCAAATTACCACACACACTAATTCAATCTAATTTAGACTCACATAGACACAGCTTTCAAATGAGTCTCCAAGCCCGTTCTCTGCCAGCTTGAAGTGGCTCTAGGTAACCTCGTAAGAAGTTCAGAACCAACTGCTTCCATCCTGGCACCACCATATGTGGGCAGAGTGCGTGGCAAGTCATTTAGCCTCTCTGAGCTCCAACTTCCTCTTTGAAGAGTGGGGTCACCGTCGCTGGCAAGAATTGGACAGTGTCCTGAGCTGGTGCCCACGAGGAGCCAGAAGGTGTTCTTTTCCTTTCCCTCACCTGTATTAGGAAGAACTGTGAAAGTCTTTGAAGTGAGCAAGGGGATTAGTGGGTGTCCTTCCAGCGGAACTATGGGCATTTATCTGATGCTGTTGAGGTCTGTGTTTTCTTTCTTTTTCTTTTTCTTTTTTTTAAGATTTTAATGTTTTACTTATTTCTGAGAGAGAGAGAGAAAGAGAGAGAGCATGAGCAGGGGAGGGTCAAAGAGAGAGGGAGACACAGAATCTGAAACAGGTTCCAGGCTCTGAGCTGGCTGTCAGCACAGAGCCCAACACGAGGCTTGAACCCACAAACCACAAGATCATGACCTAAGCAAAAGTCGGATGCTCAACCGACCAAGCCACCCAGGCGCCCCGAGGTCTGTGTTTCTGATGGGGCTACTTTGTAAGCCATAGGAAACTGACAGTCATGTAAATAATTCTTGTCTATAGCAATGTAAGTGAGTATTGTCTCCTAAAAATACGGTGAATTTCTGTCCTGGATAGCAGATTATTCCAAACATTACATTCTATTGGCCTAAATACACAAACCAGTTTTGTGTCTATCAGCAAATTCATTTCAGCACTCTTGATTGCCTCTATGCATGTCCTATGGATTCTCCTTTGAAGTGATATAATATCTTAGTGGTCTCTTTATTAATGAATTAAATGGCCATCTTTGACATGTGTTCATTTATATTCATATGTCTCATGTCTTTATCTTTGAAAATATTTTACCACCCACTTCCCTGAGGATTTATAAATCACTAAATCAGATCAGACCTTTGTCACCCATTCTCCACTGCTGACTTAATGTTAAATTCCAAATCCTTCCCCATCTGGCACCCTAACACACACACACACGCACTCACGCACACATGTGTGCACACTCATCCCCATCTATGCCCAAGATCCCCCACACACCCAGAAAAAACTTGTTTTGTGAGATGCGTATGCTCTTTGCTAAAGATGTGTGCATCTGGGTGTTTAGCCAGGGTTTGGCCCCTGAGATCTGAAGCAGTCTTTGAGACCAAATTGTAGGAACCGAAGGAGGTAATAGCCTCACGAGGGGACAATATAATGTACTGTCTGTTCAGAGTCTAAGTTTTACACTGAATTCTGACTTCAGTTCAAGTTAAAGAATGCAAGGACCTGGAGCACCTGGGTGGCTCTGTTGTTTAAGGGTCTGACATCGGCTCAGGTCATGATCTCACAGTTTGTGGGTTCAAGCCCTGCGTCAGGCTCTGTGCTGACAGCTTGGAGCCTGGAACCTGCTTCGGATTCTGTGTCTCCCTCTCTCTCTGCCCCTCACCACTTGTGCTTCCCCCCACCCTAGTAAACCTTAACAAAATTAAAAAGGAAAAGAATGCAAGGACCCAGTCTTCCTGAGGACTTTCCTGGTGTCCCACTGCCAAGAAAGATGGCACTGTGTGCCTGGGGGGTGACCCTGGGCTGAGTACGGCCCATCCAGGACCAGTTATAGATCTCCCAGCATTCTTTCCAATGTCTGTTCCCTTTGGGGCTGCATGTCTTGCTCCATCAGGCCACCTGGGGCCCTTCCTGGATAAGAACCCGAGGTTTCTGGAGGCCTCGGCCAGGAGGCATGGAAAGGCTGCACTGTGGGTGGCTGGTGTTAGATTATCTGTGGGTTCCTCCGGAAATAGTTTCTCTTACAAGACCCCTACAAGACACCCGCCAGGAGCGGTCCAGGAAAGGAGAGCTCCTGCGCTGGATGGCTACCAGGATCGCCCGGCGTGCCCTGAAATCTGTTTCTGAAATATGGTGAGATGCAAAGGAGTGTAATCGCAGGCTCCACTCTAGACCACTGCACCTCCAAGTGTGGTTGGACCCGCGGCACTGGTGTCACCTGGGAGTGTGCTCAGGCTCAAGGCCAGACTTGCTGAACCAGAAGGTGCGGGTTACCAGATTCCCTGGTGATTTATATGCACTCCAGAATTTGGAAGGGTGCTGGAGGTCACACTATTAGAAGTGATCAAGTCAGTAAATCTCGTGAGCTGGGGAACTGTGGGCCAGTCCTTTCCACCTCTCAGAGCCTGTTTCCTCATCTCTAAAAGAAGGACAATAGGGGCACCTGGTGGCTCAGTCAATTAAGCAATCTGACTGTGGCTCAGGTCATGATCTCACGGTTTGTGAGTTCGAGCCCCACGTCGGGCTCTGTGCTGCCATCTCAGAGCCTAGAGCCTGCTTTGGATTCTGTGTCTCCCTCTCTCCCTCTGTTCTTACCCCACTCATGCTTTGTCTCCCTCTCTCTCTCAAAAATAAATAAAAACATTAAAAAAATTTTTTTTTTAAATACATAAAAGGACAATAACCTCTGTGCCACAGGGCCATGGAGAGGTCAAAGGTGTGTGAAAGCATTGCTCCAGAATTCGGTTGAAGGCCAAGAGAGCCCCAAAGAAACCCTGATGTGGGATGGGGTTGGTACCTCCTGTGGGAACGGGAAGGTGGAAGGCCACCCATCCCACGCTGCCTTTCTGCTCTTTCCCCAGACAAATGAGTGTTCACCACAAGCAGCACACATTCTTTTCTTGCAGTGGAGCGCAGCTGGGGCCCCAGGCCCAGGGTGGCCAGGGCTGCGCCACGGAGCTGACCCAGAAGGCCCTCCCACTGGCCGTTTCGCCTGCAGCAGCGGTATCTGCCCCACGCCCGGCCCTCATTTCCCAAGCCCTGTCTGGGACCAGCCACTGCCAGGATTTGTCCTTGGGCACCATGTCTCGGTCTGCCCTCCTTGAAGCTTCTGGGGATTTAATGGAGTCCTTTGCACTGAGCAGACACCGGGAGCTAGGGCGCAGGATGAAATCATTTTAATAGCATAGCAACACTTTAGGACCAGGTGCCCCAGATGAGGGGAACCGTTTGTCTTCCGCTCGCACAATTCTGGCGAGGGGTGAGGTTGCACCGGACACACGTATGGACATATTTTTCACATTGAAAACTTAATAAATAGATACTTAAAATGTCACAGAGACAATGGGTTGTGAGTGTGATTATTTTCGTATTCTGCCTCCTCTGAACCAGGAGGTTGCTTCCTGGGGTGCAACCAGGTAGAGGGCCCTTAGGATGGATATTCATACTCCTCAGCACTGCGCCGGCCGAAGTCCATCCAGCCCATGTAGTCTCGGTCGCTTATCCTGTGACTGGGGTCCAGGTTTTGCAGGTTCTTGATGATGGACATTCGGCCAGAAGGAGCTACAAAGGGCAGGGAAAAAGGAAACATGGCCATTATATCTAGGAGCATCACCAATTCAATCCGTAAAGGAGAACAATGGGAAAAGCCAGACAATATGTAACATGCACTTTCTTAAAGGTATCAAAGAGCTATCAAGTAGTGGGATTGTTGGGCCAAAATCTAAGAGAAGGGAAGGACCCGGGTGTGTGTAACCAGAGGGTCATATTTGCTACCTAGGGTCATGGTTTCCAATCTGTAAGGATTTAAGTGTATTCACTGACTGTGGCCTTTCACGGCTGGGACCTGCCTACTCTTTCTACTCCATAGGGGTGTTTTCTCTTACATAGCTGGCCCTCAGCAGACACCAAACAAGGGTTTTCTTGGTCCTTACCCATTTCTGAAGTTCACTCCTTAATATCCTGAGCATACCTGACTCTTGTTAAGGTGACACAATTACAATATTTTGATATGTTAGAAGGTTTAAAAAAATGGAGTCAAAGGGGTGCCTGGGTGGCTTAGTCGGCTAAGCGTCCGACTTTCACTTAGGTCATGATCTCGCGGTTCGTGGGTTCAAGCCCCGCGTCGGGTTCTGTGCTGACTGCCAGCTCAGAGCCTGGAGCCTGTTTCAGAGTCTGTGTCTCCCTCTCTCTCTGACTCTCCCCTGCTCACGCTGTCTCTCTCTCTCTCTCTCTCCTAGAAATAAATTAAAAATATATATATATATATAAAGGAGTCAAGTCCCATCACTAGACAAATACTGCTTAAAAATTAATTTGAAAGCTACCTTCCTTTTTTAAAAAAAGATATTGAGAAAAAGGCACACTGTCAGATTAAAATCTTAGGTCAGTAACACTGACAGAGAAGAGTGGGCAGAGAGGCAATAAGGAAGTTATTTAATTCAGCCCTTTTGACCAAACTGCAATAACTGAATGAGAAATGGGCCTTTTGGGATAGGAGTTGAGTCCTCAGGAACAGGATGATTCTCGCATAGAATTCTTATTGAGGGAGGAGGACACAAAGGAGCAGTTTCTTTGGAGACATAGTCTTAGCCCAAGGGTCACAGACAGTGGCCTCCTGGGTATGAAATCAGTAGAATGCCTTCTTCTGTGCAAGCCAAGAGGCAAGTAAGTCCCTTAGGGACCTCGAAAGGCAAAGCCCAGGGGACTTTTAAGAGCACGGTGGTGGAAGGCCAAATCACAGTTCCTATTGGATCAGGACACTGCGTCCCCACTGCTTGTGACTCTGGCATCCAGCCTTTCTGTATGAGGCTGCCCTTGCCAACTTCTGTCCACAGGCTTCAAAGAGTCAGACTATGGCTTATTTATTGATAAATGACCCTGCAGAAGTAGGTCCTCTGTCCCATTGGATAACCAAGTAGAGCTAGCCAAATTAAAAACCAGAAACAATCCCCACCTGTTCTTCTCCACCCCCCCTCCCCCAATCCCTTCCCAGCCTTGGAATCCAAGAGTCAATCCAGCGCATTCCAGCCCCTTGCAGACATCTCCAGCCTATGCACAAGGAAAAGAGCCCTGGCTATGAAGTAATTGCTCAACATCTTTCGGGTAAAATATTAGTCCTCTCATTAAAAAAAAAAAAAGTGCAGTCAAGTTATTTGTACACAGTCATGGAAATATGGCCCACCTATCTGCCTGCCGCTGATGCACACCCCCATCAAAGGCTGGGCACAGCCCCAAGTTCTAGTTAATGAAGGCAAAGCGGCAGCTTCGATGGGCACAAGCAGCCTGGGTTGCTGGGTGGGGGCACTAAGTTAAGCCTTGGTGGCTGTGCTCCTTACACACCTCGATTTCCCCTTCCACACACAGTTCTGCGCTCATGGTGTGTGCATCTACCAGAGTCCTCACTCACTTCCCCAGTGTGGATGAGAATAGAGACTTACGACTGGTTTATGGAATGGAAGTGAAGGGCCCGCTCCCTTAAACCTGAAAACCCTGAATGGGACGCAGAATAGCTTCTGGACCCCCTGGGGAGGGCAGGGCCTGAGCAGACTCTCAGGTGTGCAAAGTTGGCCTCGATATGAGATATGCAGAGTTAGGCAGCTTTTGCATTCTCCTAGAGCCCCAGCTGCCGCCGTGAAGAATAGTGGGACTTACCACACAGGCTGCCGATGCAGGCTAACCACACAGAGGTTAAAGATGTGGCATTAGCGCTTTGCTGGGTGTGGGGCAGGTATGTACCCAATGCGCCCATGCTCCCTCAGTAGAATTGCTTCTCCTTATCACTGAAAACTTTGCAGACAATTCCTAATGATCAACTCTTAAGCACTCCTCTAAGAGTGCAGTATCGTGTTCAGAGTCTGTAAGCACAATAGTTGAGTAAATGCCCAGCATGGTCTCAAAATATGTAACATATTCAAAGAAACTGTCGAGGTGTAAATATCCCCCATTTGTATTTGTCAAACAGAAGGGTGTGATTGTTGACAAGCTGGTATTTGTGGAGGGTGTCAGCAGCCAGAACATGTAGAGGCTGCCTTTCTCACATGGGTTCGTTCGGTAGCACAGGCCAAAGGCAAAGGGAGAAGGTAGCTGAGAAGAGGTGCCAGGAAGAAATTTACAGCTAAGATTTGTAGCTAAGGCCACTGTCAAGTGTCCGCTCTGGGGAAATGGTGTGGCAACTGGCTTCTTTCCTGGACCTGTTTCTGGTGGCTCCTTCCCGAAGGTGGGGAGGCAGCCCCAGGTTATGGATGAATGAAAACCCTACGCTATTTCAGACTGGTTTGACTGAAGCTCAGCCAACATCCAAGGACAGACATGAAATTATTTTGATGCTGACAATCAGTAGGAACTCAGAAAGTTTTCAGACTTCCTCTGTCATCTGACTAGTATTTCCACATCTCTCAATTTAATTAGCTAGAGAGCAACACAGAAGATGGGTAGCTGGGACAATTTCTCAAAGAGAGGACAAATGTCACACATCATCTTTTGTGTTGTTTTATTTTCCTTCTGAATTCCCCTGGGTAAAAAGTCCCAATCTTACCTTCATATGAAACCATCAGAGACTCTGGAGAGCTGAGCCCATCATTTCCTCCTTTTCTAGTCAAGCCACGAGCTAAGGTCCAAATCCAAATCCAGGCACATGGGAGGGTAAGGGAGCCTCATGGAAAAGGAGCCCACTTCCCACCCCTCTCAGTAGCATTTTCTATGGTTTACTGTCCAGCTGCATTGGTCCAGTTCAGCCCACTGCCTCATAGCCTGTGGTCACCATCAGTGTCACTATGGATCAAGTTGATAGAAAAAAACTGCCCTGGTCCCAATCATGATTCCTAAGGAGCCTACAGATGAATGAGCCTCCTTCTGATTCACACAAAGATCTAGAAGGGACCTAGGGGAACTCCAGCCTCATTCCTGCTTTCCAGATAGACAGGCCCAGGAAAGGGTCAGGGCTGTCAGGACGGGCACTCAGCTAGTGAGCCCCCGAGTCACCTTCTTCCTGCAGAAAGACTTTGATGCTGAGAAATCCGTGGCTTGCAGTCTCCTGCTGCAATTGGGGCCATCTCTCCAACAGCAAAATAAAAACAAAAAATAAAATAAATATAATAAATAAAATTTAAAAAAATAAAAAAATAAAGCAGGTCACTTGGGTGATCAGTTTAAATTACTGCCAAGGGGAACTCAAAACCGCGCCTGATTCTTTCCTCCGGTTACATTCTTTGGGGAAACCTGACACACTGTCACTTCTTTTTAAACTGTACTCAAACACTTTTTCAGCATTCTTTCCTGCCATAGGGTTTTTCAAGTGTTAGTATATGGGTGGCTTCTGGTTCCTCTGCCTTTATCGTGGAGGGTATGTAGTAGATCTGCAAACCTTTTTTAAGTCAGTAATTTGCTCAGTAATCACCTTCTAATGTCTTCATAATATAGTGTTGAGCTTAAACGGCAACCCGTACCAAAAATTAGTTTCAATAAAGCTTTTTAAAAAGGTTTTCCCTAATAAGTGTAATCTGCCACACTAGCTCTCAGTTGGCTACAAAGGACGTCCAGGAAACCATACTGCCGGGTGCAGTACAATTCGGAAAAGAAAGCGAAAAACGTTTCAGCTTTAACGCGCAGCCTGGGGTTCTTTCCGAGGGGTTACCCACCTCCGTCAGCCAGCCAGACGCTAGGGAGGAAGGTCGGGGTTGGGAGCCCCGCGCGGAGGCTAAAGGGAGGGATGAGGACCCTACAGAGGAAGGAGCATCCGTACCTTTCCGGGCCTGCTGGATGTATCTGGCCAGCAGCGCGCCCAGGTGCGCTCGGGGCTCGCCGTCCACCTTCTGCACGGCCCGCAGCTGCCTGCGGGGCGCCTCCTCCTCCGGCTGCGCCCCTGGGCGCGCTGGGTCCGCTGCAGGAACGGGCTGCGCCAGGGTGCCCGCCGCCAGTACAGCCATCAGCACGCACAGGCACACGCCTCCGTTCATGGCTGCGGAGAGCAAAGCGGAGGGGACATGAACGAAAAGGTGGGACACCGCGGCGACTCGCGGAGGGTCAGGGCACCTGGGGTATGGAAAAGGGGGCTCGTTCCGAGCGCGCGGGGCTCCGGAGCCGCCACAGCTGTGCAAGCACTAGGGCTCGCCAAGCCCCGGCAAGCGCCCACGGGAGCCAAGTGGCCACAGCACACGTGTCCAGGCGCACTCCTGTCTTTTGGGTGAACCACACCCGGTGCCCGGGCATGGGAGAGAGACCCTGTCTTCTGCCCTGATTAGCAGAAGGAATATCTTGTTTTCCCTTAATGTCAGAAAGGGCTGTTAGAACGGCTGTCTTCTCACTGGAAAAGCAAGAGATTAAAAATGGGGAAATTAGCTGCAGAGAAGACTCCGTGGGAGAAATGAGATCCTCGATAGTTAAAAAGCTTTCATAAATGGTGAAAGCACAGTTTAAAAGGTGGGAACAATAAATAAAACCCACCCTTACAAAGTTTCTTTAAGGTGTAATGGGAATTGGCAATAAACAAGAACTACACAAAACACAAGAACGGCTTTTCAAAATCAGAAATATGCGCTCGACCTTCAGTCACTGGCAAAACTCCTCTGCGTCTTAGATCCATGAGCAGATAATACTTGCACGTTTCTATCCCCAAAGCCCTGAATTTCTCTGCAATGTTTAGAAAATGAATTTAAATCTTAAAACCTCTCGGTAATTTATTTGAAGAGATCGCAAAGTACCTGGCGCTTCTGTGTCCCATCTAGCAAATCCCAATTTGCTCGCTAATCCTGGCAAATCGATATTCCAGCATTGCGTGCCTGGGAGAACAAAGCAGGCGCTAGGAAGTCTCAAACTAGTCTACCCACCCAGACCTCCTTGTTGTTTCCGACCTCAAGCAGTATCTTTCGAGCTGTCGGAAAGAAGACACCGAAAACAGAAACACGCAAAGGGCACACAACTGAAGACAGCATCCTTCAACCAGCTTGACACTCGGGTCCCCCGCGGGAGAGCGCGCAACCTACCTTCAGCGGGCTTCGCGTTCCCACCGGAGCTGCGGGGAGCCGGGGAGCCGAGCCAAGTTCAAGGTGGGCCGGCGGGAGCCTGCTTCTTAAATAGCCCCTCCCGGCGCTGTTAGCCAGTCATCTATTTACCCAGCCTTGACGCAGACGGGCAGCAACACGTGCTCCGGGGCGGCCACTGGGGCGACAACCGATTGAAGTGGCTCCTGGGAGAGAGGGGGCAATGGCTCAGTGGAGTCGGCTCAGCCCCTCCCAGGCGGGGTGTCCGGTGTCCGCCCCCCTCCCCACCCCGTCGGGGGAGGGGGCTTCCCCTCCCAGATCTGTCCCACTCTCTCTCCCTTCCTCATTCCAGGGTGGGAAGCATCTCCTCCAGGATGGTTTGGTCTGCTTTGGGGACCGTAGGCGCTGGCCGGGGAACCGAGGGCGCGGCGGGAGGGGTGGGCTGGGTGCGTGTCAGCAACGTGTAATTCTGAGCCGGAGGGTCCCGGGGCAGCTGGCTCTGGAGTCCCACACCTCTGTTCACGCAGCTGTAAAGTGCGGGTGACACCGCAGGACTCTGGTCAGTTTGGGAAAGGGCTGTGTTTTCCTCCGGGGCTGAATTCGCTCCTGCTCGCGGCGCGCCCGGCTCTCGGTCGCCGACCAGCGGCGCCAGCGAGCGTCCTGAAGAGCGGCGTCTCCGCGTTCCCCTCCGCAACGGCAGGCGCCCCTCGCACCCGCCCGGGCGCAGTCTCGGCCCCAGCGGGGGCAGGGGAGGCACTGAGGCCGCCTGCGTCTTCCCCGCGCGATCGCGCCCCTGGCTCGCGTGCGAGGTGCCCGGCGCCAGCGCGCCGCGGCGGCCAAACCCATCGCCGACCCGCAGCCGTTTGCGCGGGTGCTCGAGTTTGCCGCGTCCCCGCGGAAGGCACTGCCAACCTCCTTTCACAGCCCGCAAACAGAGGCGCGGAGAGGAGCTGCCCCGAGCCGAGGCCCCGCCGCCTGCCCCGGGCCGCGTGACGCACGGGAGGCCTCCCAGCCTGAGACCCGGGGGGTCGCATCTACCCTCGCCCCGTCCCGGGACCCTCCATGCCTCCTCCTTTCCCTCGGAGGATTTGGAAGTGCTTCTTTCAAAACTGGCATCTGTACTCCGTTGTGGGGTTCTGGAGACTGCGGGACAGGGAGGACCCTTGCGCAGTGGTCGGGTGCCGGGTGGCTGGGGGAGCTGGGCGGGGAGACACTTCTGGGTTGCATCCCCCCCCCCCTTTCTAAACTCTAGACGCTGCTGTGTTTCTGCAACCTAAAGGAAACATTTTTGAAAAGGCAGCAAGTAAATTGTTTTCCCACGAATCTGCTAAGGTTTGGGTAGCTCAGTTGGAGAAACTAGTTTTATTCGTGACATGGCCAAGACATTTCTGGGAACATGAACTTGTTATAAAACAGAATCACATAAAGGGCTTTTTCAAACATCCCTAGAGTTTCTGATTCCGAGGTGAGGCCCAAGAATCTGCATTTCTATCAAGTTCCCCATGATGCGCCTGCCGGTGGGCCCTGGAACATACTTTGAGAACAAAGGCTATAGAATTTCCCTAGGGTAAGCCAGTGACTTAACTCTCTTCCTTCCATGCGTTTCATTAATAATTAATATTTACTGAACACTTGCTTTGTGCCGGGCATTGGGAATGCAGTATAAACAATGATGACAATATAATGAGGGAGCAGAAAAAAACAAGTAAACATACATACACCCCCCCTGGTGATTCTGGTGTATTTGGGGGACACTCTAGGTGGTGGATGATGGCAGAGAAATGTTTTAAAGAGGGGGAACAAAGGAAAGAAGCTGCAGATTCAGAAAGAAGAGTCTGGTTGCGATGTGAAAGGTGTTCCAAGGGAGGGGAGGCTGTAAGTCAGGATCTGTTAGGAGGACCAGGAGGCATCAAGATAGATTTATATTTAGGACGATAACACATTATGAAACTCAACTATTATGAAACACACTAAACATTATGAGAGTACTGTGTCCATCCGAGATAATTCAGAAAATAAGTAAAAGTAGAGAAAAAAGAAAAAGTCCTATCACCCAGGAATAGCCGCTGTTAACCTCTTGGTGTTTGAGAAACCTGTGGAGGCAGTGAAACTGTGTGACTGACGTTGACCTTGAGGCTCCGTGTTGCGAGCCAGGGGAGGAGGGTGTGGAGTATTACCCAAGACAAGGAATTCCGGTGTGAGAGCAGGTTTGGGATATGAGGGTGAGGTAGGTAATGAGTCTAATAGAAGATTGAACTCACTGCTTGTGCCTGGACGGTCCAGGAGCAGGTTGAGAATGAGCCCTGGGCTTTGCCCTCTCTGTCCCCCACCTGTCCGACCCTCACCCCCTTCCCACTAAGTGAGACTCACCAGCTGGGGCCCAGAACGTGGAGGGTCCTTCCCATCATTCAAGTGGCTGAGAGCATGACAGTCGTATCCAGATATGGCATTTGAGAGGGAGCAGTGGTGAAACTTAACTGGTTTTAGAATCTAGAAATTTTCACCTGATTGTGCTGAAAAACAGTTAAGTGAAGTCCTGTTTAGAGTTAGGGAGGTGTCTCCAGCGAGTGGCCCTTGCAGCACAGGAAATCACTTCGATGAAGGATGTTTAGCCATGGGAAGGAGCTCAAAGACATATGTCCATTTTGCACTTGTAGAAAACTCAGTGGAATTTCCAGGGACATACTAGAGCCTCCTAATTTATTATTCACAGGATTTTAAACTGAAAAACCACGAGGAACAGTAGTTGCTGGGGAAACCGGCTGCCAGTGTCCTCAGGCCCATGGCTTGGCTCACTTCCCTTTGTAGAAGGTTTTAAAAGAAGCTTCTATGGTTAGACCCAGGAAAAGTCAACAAACAAATTCAAGTTCAGTGATCCTGTTCTGTGATCCTGCCAATCCAGCCTCCATCTGGAGCGGGGGCCCCATAAACGGCAGAGGACACAGTGTGTCCCTCAGTGGCCTCAGCCCCCAGCAGAGACACATCCCACCCTATCAGCCCACTTGGTGCCTAGTGCAGGACACTTAGTCTCCTTTGAATTAGTGCTTGAGGCCAGAGCTGCCCCAGGACAACCTTACTGGGGAAAGCTCTTAGTTTTCTAGGTGTCTGGCAACCCTCCGGATAGACAAGCACATAATGTTGAATGATGCACTAGATATTCAAGTAAGTGAATAAAGCCTGTCGATAATGTTGCGAACCTGCATTTTGTTTTATTTGGAATTATAACAGGAGATAGCCGTGTTCTGAAAAATAGTACACCGAGTCCCAAGGTTTCTTGTGGTATTGGAGCCTCATCTGCATACCTGTACTGGCTCATAAATCTAGCTGTCATAAAAAATCCTTATATCATTTAACCTTTAGTTCAAACAATCAATGCAAAGAAAAAATGTCTACAAAATTCAGTTGCAAAATGTATTACTTAAGTCCAAACTGATTCATTCTAAGTAAGTGCAAACATCTGACAATTTCCTCTTTCGGTTAGCTGTGCCTGACTATTTACATATTGAGACACATACCATTTTATTCTAAATTGCTTGTATATTATGTACTGTACTTTCTATCTATAGTGTGTTATATTTGGGGCATTGTATTGATTTTTAAAATATTATGTGGCTAAGTGTATTGTAAGAGTTAAAAATGGTATTTCAGGGCAGTCGAGGAAGAATGTGAAATACCTTTTGTCCAAAGTGGGTGTTGAATCACATGGGGTTGGGATTCAGGACTTAAGAACTTGGACGATTAAAGCCTAAGTGTGATGTTTTTTGCTATCCTAATTCAATCAGGGGAAAGTAAGAGGGGAAAAGTTGGGAGCAGGGATTGAAGGCAGGGACCCTAGAAAGATGGGGTGGAGTATGTAAGTGTGTGGAGGGCAGGGCCTCAGGATGTGGTGGAGACAGAGATCGTAAGTACACATTTCTTCCTCCTCACCTTGCTACTGACTAATGGTCCTGACCACACCATCCAACCTGCACTCACTTCTGTGGACAAGCCCGAGATCCGAGCATGGACAGGGAGGTCCCACATTCCAGTGTGGAGGTGGGCAGATATTCTGGGTTTTAGGAAAAGCAAGTCTGGGCTACTTTGCTCAGGGATAATGTTGAGCAATGTCCAAAAGGCATGTTGGTGGGAAAGGTAGTCCAAAGAAAAAGGGAAAATCATTTCACGCTAAAAAGCAGTGATATTTGAACTGCAGGAGTTTGTACCATAAATGCAAAAAGTTCTATTTAGATTTTCATTCCTTAAGGAATAGCGCAATCCTGTGGCATGTGCAACAAAATGTTAAAAACTGGCAGCCTAGAAATGAGGGATCTGTGCATATATTTTCCTAGCACCCGGGTTGATGAGTGAAGGAAAGAGTTTGTTTACCAGCTTCTGTAACTTCCCCAGAGATGGCTGGCAACAGACGGGCCTCCAGCTGAGCGGGGAGCTTTGAGGTGCCGGGCCCAGGGGCTGCCGAAAGACTTGCAAAGGAGTGAGAATGTGATCTTATCTGCCAGATTGTGTTTCTTATGTAAGTTTCTGGAGCTGGGTGTGGAAAGGAAAAAGAGATTCAATCTTTGAGCAAGAATGTTGGCTTATACTTTGGGTCCATCTTGCTTCGGGTTCCCCACCCCCCAACACAGACCCCAAGACAGACCTGGATGCAGGTAGTGTGTTTAGGAGAGCATCTCAGACTGCTGAACGGAGAAGGTTGGAAAATGAGTCTGGGAAGAGAGAAAAGTCAAGAATATGTGGCTTAATGAGGAGGTTATTGATGAGGGAAACTGGGACTCTGTCTAGCTGGGGCCCTTCTGAATAGGAAGGCCCTTCTGCATAGGAATCACCTTTCACCACTGTACCATGGAAGCATTAATCCATGGCTCCTGTGTCCTATTATTTGAGGTTCTGTGATGGGTTGGGGGCAGGGGAGACATAACATAGGCAGAGAATAGAGATGCAAGTACTCGATGTGGACAGCCACCAGCCTGTAGGGAACTGTCCCCAGCAGCTGCTGAGGGGTGTAGGTGGGCTGAGCGGATGTGGGTGAAGCATCCACAGTGTCTCCTGTGGCCCCTAAGTGCAAACCTGAGGAAAGATCCTGTTACATTCCTGAACTGTAGAAACACTCAAGTCTTCCTATTGTGGGGAAAGTGTGCACCAATGGGTACAAATATTTTGTCTGGGGAAATGTTCAAGAAACAGTCTGTCTTTCTAAATTTTTTA